AAGAAGAGGAGGAGGAGGAGAAGAAGGAGGAGGAATAAGAGGAAAAAGGAGGTGTAAGAGGTGGAAGAGGTAGAAAAAGGTGGCACAGCACTCAGCCTCCCTCACCAGGAGAAAGTGGCGAGCTATGTCTCACTCAACTCTTTACAAACACACTAAAATGGTCCTCAGCCAGATGACATGTTTCTCCCTGCCTAATGCCCAAATCTCACAGCTGATTGATAGATAGATAGATAGAACGGACAGACAGACAGACAGACAGACAGACAGACAGACAGACAGTTTCTAGACAACCCAGCCCTATCATCCATCCTAACACCACCTAGCACCACCCCTAGCACCCACCCCTAGCACCCACCCCTAGCACCCACCCCTAGCACCCACCCCTAGCACCCAGCCAGATGAGGGAGGTTTCCTATATCCGGCCCAAAGCCAGATCTAAATTTACCTTCACTTGAGGAATTGTGGTTTTCGATATCCTGTTCAACAGCTGTCGCCTGTGAGGGCCAGGGAGGGGGGTGGGCTGCCGGGTACTGGTGTGAACTGGGGAGAGAGAGAGGAGAGAGAAGCCCGACTGTGCGACTTTGATGTTTAAAAATTAATTAGTGGCAGAAGGTGGTGACTAGTTACACCTGGAAACTCTTTATGAATGGACGTAATTTTTTTTTTCTGCCTTGATGTTGAGTAGGAGATAATGGTGAGGGGTGAGGAGGGGAGAAGGGGGGAAGGTGAGAGGAGGAGGGAGGGGGAGAGGGGGAGGTGAAAGGGGATTTTCTCGTGTGTCTGATTTTTTTATTACTTTATCTTATTTTTTCTGATATTTTGAGGATTTTTTTTTTAGTTTCTTTTGATATTGTGGAGTAGCCGTTAGGACAGACAGGCAGACAGACAGACAGACAGACAGACAGACAGACAGACAGACAGACAGATAGACAGACAGATACTTTGATATACTAATACAGATCGTTGAGTTGGTTTTAATATCAAAGTTAATCTCATGTTTGCTAAGGTGTGTGGGTTACCTGCTCTCACATCAATAGCGGTATGGTGAATCAAACTTAATCACTGCACTTAGAGAATCCTAGGAAGAGGGGGTGAGGAGGGGGTGTAGGGGAGGGGGTGAGGGAGGGGGTATAGGGGAGGAGGGGTGAGGGAGGGGTTGTAGGGGGAGGGGGGGGGTGGCGAAGATGAAAAGAGCCTTCTAACTTATCAATGTTATCAGTTAGACATAAGACACTACTGATAAGGAAAGAGAAATAGTAAGATTAAGTTGAGATAAGGATGAGAGTCAGTGAAAGAGGTGAGAAGGATGGCAGGATCGTAGGATATCTTCTCATCTTCCTACAGGATAATCTCAGCTAAAGGTCAGGGTCAAGGCTGTTAAGAGAGAGATTCCTAGGTGATATAAGAGACGTATTTAACTACAGGTGTGTGAGGTGTAGTACGTCGGGCAGGTGGTTAATTAATGATAGATCCAATTATCCTGTGTTAAGTATCTTCTCTCTCTCTCTCTCTCTCTCTCTCTCTCTCTCTCTCTCTCTCTCTCTCGAGTTCAGAGGAGAAAGAAAAACTCATTACCAAGCCTTAAACCTTCTTGCAAACTGTCTAGTATTACACGAGAGAGAGAGAGAGAGAGAGAGATTATGGCCAATGGTTCATTAGAAACTAATTTACAAGTTGGATGGTAACGTTGATAGAATTGGTAACATTGCTGAGGTTGGTAGCACGGAATTGGTAACACTGACGGTGATGATAACATAGACAGACTTGGTAACACTGATAAGGTTGGTAACACATAATTGGTAACACTGATATAGGGTTTTAATGTACCTAGATAGGCAGTCATCAGGCGGGTGAGCCAGGTGGGACATTACTACAAACACCGGTACGACTCTTAACAGCTCAATTACACCCTAACTACACAATTACATTCCTCTGAACGCTCATCATCACGGCTGATATGAAGAGCAAGAGAATATTTCGGCAAAGTTATGTTTTTGGGGGGATTTTTTGTTTTTTTGTAATTTAGTGAGCCGAGATGGGAAAAAAATTACTCTCTCTCTCTCTCTCTCTCTCTCTCTCTCTCTCTCTCTCTCTTTAAGATATTGTTATGTTTCACTATCATTCGTAAGACAAGAAAAATTGCTAATTTTTTTTTGTCTCAGGAGAAGGAGATAGAGAGACAATGAGAGGTAGTGAGAGATGAAGGAGATAGTGAGGACTGAGAGAGATTATGGGAGATAGTGAGAGATGAAGGAGAAGGAAGATTAAGGGGAGACACTGATAGACGATGGTCATTAGAGAGAGAGAGAGAGAACAGAAGAACACATTTCCTGAGGCTCACTATACACTAGACTCTAACAGCTCACCAGGGTCTTCTTCAGCGTCTACTTCAGGTAATATAGTGGTAACATCTCCCTGGTCGAGTGCAGGAGACAGGGAGAGAGTGGGAGGGAGAGAGGGAGATGGATAGAAGGAGTGAGAGGGAGAGGAGACAGAGAGTGGGGGAAACGAGAGAAAGTGAGAGGGAGATAACAAAATAAAGAATGAGAAGAAGAGAAGAAGAAAGAGAATGTAAGTGAGAGGGAGAGATCGAGACATGGTTGAGGACCTAGACTAGCCAACAGGAGACACACCAAATACCTTAACTGGACGACAAGATACAGGACTTCTTCAGGAATTTTCATTTAATAAAACAAAATTCCTTCCTCGGGGTTAAAGGAACCAAAATTCTTGAGGTCATTAAGGTGGAGTCATTTAAACCCCTCCCCATCCCCCTCCTCCAGGCTAGCGGGACTCCTTCAGCGCCTACTTCAGTTAATAAAGTAACCAGCACTCTCCTACATGTTGGTGACGCAGGAAGCCAATACTTGAAACCACTTAACTGTGAACGTGAGGAGCATCTCGGCTCCCCTGGCCAATCACAGCTGCCCGGGCTCCCTGATTCACTCGCCTTTTATTAATGAGATAACCAATGAGCCAACCAGCTGGGACTTTGGGTGGGGGAGGGGGTTTTGAGCCAATCAGCTTGGACTTCGTGGGAGCCATGAACCAATCAACTAAGACTTTAGAGGCCATGGACCAATCAGCTAAAACTTGAGGGGGAGGGGGCGTGAACCAATCAACTCAGACTTTAAACTCTAAAGTTTCGAAGTTATGAACCAATCAACTATACCTTTAGAGACCATAGACCAATCAACTAGGACTTTAGAAGCCATGGACCAATCAGCTAGGACTTGAAGGAGGCCCTGGACCAATCAACTAAGTCTTTAGAGACCATGGACAAATCAGCTGGAACTTTGGGGTGTCATGATCGTTACCCGGGTTAATCTCTCTGATGAAATATATTGTGTTTTCTCATCTGTTTTATTTATTTTATTCATTTGTATATTTATATATTTTTCGTTCTTTTATTTTTCTTCATTTTAAAACAATTTCATATTTGTACCTTACATTTTTTTCTTATTCATTAGAGTCTGCCGTATTTATTCTGTCACCCCGTCACTCATATCTGTCACTCTATCATCCTGTCACTCTATCATCCCGTCACTCTCCCCGCCGTCACTCTCACACCGTCACTCTCACTCTGTCACTCTCACTCTGTCACTCTCACACCGTCACTCCACACCGCCACTCACACCGTCACCTCACTCTGTCACTCTCACACCGTCACTCTCACTCTGTCACACACCGTCACCTCTAATTCAGTCACTCTCTACACCGTCACCTCACACTCTGTCACTTTCACACCGTTACCTTGCCACCGTCACTCTCACACCGTCACTCTCACTCTGTCACTCTCACACCGTCACTCTCACACCGTCGTCACTCTCACACCGTCACTCTCACTCTGTCACTCTCACACCGTCACTCTCACACCGTCGTCACTCTCACACCGTCACTCTCACTCCGTCACTCACAAAACTCAATATTTTATAACTGAATAACATTTTTCCTCGTCAACTTCATTTGCTGAATTAAAACAAAACCATTCTGGGGATTTTTCGTTGTCAGATTAGTTGTATGGGATTACGTCCGCTATATCTGGATTAACTCGAAACAAAGTGTGGATTAAGTGTGAGTCATAAGCTGCTTCAGTGTGGGGTCAGTCAGTCACCTTCACCCCACTTAATAAAATAGCCAATTCCCTCCCTCTCTTCTTCCCTCTCCTCATCCTCCTCCTTTCTTCTTCTTCTCATACCTCCTCCCCCACCCCTGTATACCACTGACTAGAAAACCCAAATGAGGACCTCCTCGTCAGATATATATTTCTGTCTTTCACCTTCATCGTGTCTTTTGAAGCTACGACAAAGACGGATCTCTCTTCACAGTCGTCATCATCACAGCCTCACTTCCACCGCTTTATAGACCAGACCAACAGGATTATTAAGAAAGCGCTCCACCCTCACAAAGAATGTTACCACGAGCTGGGTGAATGTTATTGACACATTCTATTGAACTACAGTAAACATTCAGTCATCAATGTTTACACAACACTACCTCGATGTTCTGCTTGAGTGAGTGTGTTTGGGAATGCTTGGCTTGAGAGTGTGTTTGGGAATGCTTGGCTTGAGAGTGTGTTTGAGTGTTGGTATTTATCACCCGCGTGTGTGTGTGTGTGTGTGTGTGTGTAAGCCTCAGATCACTATTATATCTGGCTCAATATATATGGTGTCACCCGATAGGTATTGTGTACAGTGGCCGGATAGAAACGTCATCCTAGTATGGGATTGCGTGGGATTAGGGGAAGGATTGTGGCCAGATGGAGAGTGAGGGATGGATGAGAGAGGAGAGAGAGAGAGAGGGGGGGAGGAATTTCAATGATAAAGCTACATTTAATTAGTTCCGTGTATCCACCTTACCTGACCTTACTGATCGTGTTGGTCGCTCCTGAGTTGTTGGTTTCATTGAAGTGCCACTAACCACCATGTCCCATTACCTGTGTCCCATTAACGCCACAAAATACGCCACTAACCACCATATCCTACGTGTCCTCCTCACAGGATGCTGCTGCGGTGCTCGGAGTCCGGGATTATGATGAATTTAAACTGTGTGGATCCTTTAGGACGCTCTGCTCTTCTTATGGCCATCGACAACGAGAACCTGGAGATGGTGGAACTCCTCAGAGTTTAAGGTGAGGGGTCTCTCTCTCTCCTACACCTATATAACTGAAACATAAATTCCAGATCATATAACAAAACCTCTTAAATTTCTAGCTTATCTCCACTCATCTCTATCTCCATTTATCTCCTACAGGTGGAGACTAAAGACGCCCTCCTCCATGCTATCAGTGAAGAGTACGTGGAGGCCGTGGAGGTGTTGTTGGAACATGAGGAGACCGTACACACCCCAGGAGAACCACACGTGAGTTGAACTTCCCCACCTTGGAGACCACTGTGTCGTTCTCTTAACCCCTGTGTGTGTGTGTGTGTGTGTGTGTGTGTGTGTGTGTGTAGCTATATTGTTATATCGTGTTTTTTTACATGTACGTCAAAGCCCTCATGTGTGTATCTATATGTATGTGTAGTCCCTATGATTCAGATCCACCCCCCTCATAATCCTTAAGGGTCATTAACAATTCACTAATCTTAACCAATCAGTGAGGAGAACCTGACAATTAACTAATTCCCATATACAAACATTAACACAACCAGCACTGTATGCTTTAAACAACCCGTAATTAAATTCTCTCGTTACACACTGGACAAGGGAAGTTTTTAATCCTAGTTGACGTTTTCATTAAATTGTTTAATAGTGTAAAAAAAGTGAAATTGAATTCGTATTATTTTTTTTATTCTGACGATCAGCATCAGTTGGTAAGTCACCAGGGGGAAAAATGGCTTAATTTCATTTAGATTTTTTGAAGGGTAACTGTATTGGTGTTTGAATTATTTCGTAAAGGTGCAATTTTGAGAGATTAGCGTAATAAATAATAATAATAACAATAAAAAATAATAATAATAAATTAATAAATAAATAAATAAGATAATAATAATAATAATAATAATAATAATAATAATAATAATAATAATAATAATAATAATAATAATAATAATAATAATAATAATAATAATAATAATAATAATAATAATAATAATAAAAGTTGGTAGTGGATAAGAATATTTAATTATTTTAGCGCTGTTCTGTTTACAATGACGTCACACTCGTTGTTTACATTCTACGCGGTTGGCAGCCCTGCTCACTCGCCCGCCATTAAACACATCGCTTAAACAACACATTTATCCACATTATAATGTTCCTCCACGCTGATAACTTTATTTACTCTCTAAACAACACGAAACAATTATAGAATTTACCCTTAATTGTAGCGTTGAGGTCAGATTTTCACTGTTATATTTGTGGGGTTAAAATAGTAGTTATATACTTTATTATATTTTACGGTTACCTTAAAGTTTATCAATTAATTGGTGAAATATGGTTACAAATCTCACCTGTGTAAAGTAATATGGCTCCCAGTTTTACCTAACCTAACCTAACCTATGTATGTCCGTCAGGTATAACACATAATAAACCCTTGAGTATCATGTATCACTTAGTATCATAATGTTTCTTAGGTTTTTGAACGATGTATTTTGGTGCTTTCCTACACATCACGAAAAGTTTCACGTCGACATTGGATTTTTGCCAATTTTTCCCAACTTCTGACAGTAAATGGTCTTTAAAATTCAATTATTCTTTAACTCAGTGTTTTACTGCTTCCTACTCAGTGCGGTTTAACCAAGTTCCTCTTCTGTTTTAATGTGTGTGATATATGACGTCAGCCATGGTTTATTACGTCACTCACTGGTTATGACGTCAGCCATGGTTTATGACGTCACTCACTGTTTATGATGTTAGCCACTGGTTATGACGTCATCCATCGGATAAAAAGTTACACAATAGGTCTAAAAAATATTTCCAAGTGTTATTGTCGTTCTGCCTGTGTCTCATTTATCACTGTTATTTCCTTGTGTGTTGTTTGGTGTCTGTACGTCCTCGTGTCTCAGTTATAGGAGTTATAATATAGTTAGAGTAATAATAATAATAATAATAAGGATTAATGTATTATTATTATTGTTGGTAGTAGTCGTAGTAGTACTAGTAGTATGTTAGTATCATTATGGTAAAATTATCGAAAAGTATCGTAAAATATCACTATTAGTCTCTATTCAAACAAACTCTTTTTATGTTGTATTTTCTATCGAACAAATAAACTCTTTATAATTCTTTTAAATATTCTACGCTTTTTGATGTTCTTTTATTTTTTTTTATCTGGATTTAAATGTTTACAATAGCTAAATATTATGATTTCCTTCAACTAATCTAACTTTCTCTCTCCTCTGCTGCAGCATAGAAAGCTTTCGACATTTGCTTTCTACGGTGTGCCAATTTTATGCTTTGCTTAATGCTTTCTTTCATTTAGCCTTCCCTGAGCAGCTTAAACAAGGTAACATGTCACAGTACTAAGCTTGCTGCTATTGTCTGTAGCGTCTGTGAAGCTCTGGTGAGGAACGTAACGTCTGTCTTTCGTTTATTGTACTTGGAGTTTCGTTCGTCATTTGTTTCCTGAAGTTCTTATCGTTTTCAGTGTTTATTCCCTGTTGGTTACTTGGAGGATTCGATCGTTTAATGTCTCTGGGGAGTTTCGTTCGTTTATTATCATCGGGTATTTCTTTTATCTATTGCCATATATAAAGTTTAATTCGTCTTTTGTCATTGAGATTTTTAGCCGTCTTTTGTTTTAGAGTTTTTTATCCGTCTATTGTCACAGACTTCCATCCGTCTATTGTCCCTGTAGCACCCCCTCCCCCTAATAAAAAAAATAAAAAAATAAAAAAATAATCCGTGGAATCAAGTGAGTTTTTATCCTCGTTTTAACTTTGACGATAAAATTAACCAATAAAAATACATTCAATATTTTTCTTATCACTTCTGTTTACTATAAGATCGAGGAGAATTTCTTTATCCGTTTATTTTGATAGTGAAATATTGTTCATGGAATCAGGCGCGGTAAGAATTGTTCACTCGCTCGATGTTTTGATTTTTAAGTGTTCGTTCAGAAGGTGTGTGTGTGTGTGTGTGTGTGTGTGTGTGTGTGTGTGTGTGTATGGCCTTGTTCTTCTCCGTGTGTGTTTATATAGTTCTTGTAGGTGGTTAGTGATATACCACTACCACTATCACCAATGCTTCCAGAACACGAGAACTTACTTGGTCAGGCCGTATGGTAATAAAGGAGGCAGGTGCCCACTCAACACGATATTACAGAACTTGTACATTAATCTTGTGTCTGTCATTTTGTGGTATGGCGGTAATTCTCTCTCTCTCACACACACACACACTCAGGGTCAAGAGGTCATACAGTCAACGCCTCTGTCTTGGTTGAATGACTCTCTGAAATTAAAGTGAGTTGTTTAACCCACTCTTCGCTTAACACACTCCTCACTTAACGCACTCTTCGCTTAACACACTCTTCGTTTAACACACTCTTCTCTTAACACACTCTTCGCTTAACACACTCTTCGCTTAACCCTCTCTTCGCTTAACACACTCTTCGCTTAACCCTCTCTTCGCTTAACACACTCTTCTCTTAACACACTCTTCCCTTAACACACTCCTCTCTTAAGTTGACTACCGGTCATTCTTACCTCTCGTAAAACTTAATGAGTCTTCATCTGAAATTTCAAACGTTGGCTCAAGGAAAGGAAAAATATCCCTCAGCCGCTTCATTAGAGACGATCCTTCCTTAACTAAACCTATTATTTCCTGTCTGGTTCTTCTTCTTCTTCTTATTCTTCTTCTTCTTCTTCTTCTTCTTCTTCTTCTTCTTCTTCTTCTTCTTCTTCTTCTTCCTACTCCAAATCTTCTTCTTCTTCTTCTTCTTCTTCTTCTTCTTTTTCTTCCTACTCCAAATCTTCTTCTTCTTCTTCTTCTTCTTCTTTTTCTTCTTTCTTCTTTCTTCTTCTTCTTTCTTCTTCTTTTTCTTCCTACCCAAATCTTTCTTCTTCTTCTTCTTCTTCTTTCTTCTTCTTTCTTTCTTTTTCTTCCTACCCAAATCTTCTTCTTCTTCTTTCTTCTTCTTTCTTTCTCTTCCTACTCCAATTTCTTCTTCTTCTTCTTCTTCTTCTTCCTCAAATTCCTTCTTCTTTTTCTTCCTTAATCTTCTTTCTTTTCTTCTACATTTACCTCATTCATCTCTTCCCTCAAATCATTCAATCATACCTAGATCACAATTCACTCTCCATCTCTACACATTCATCATACTTTCAGCTAATTCATTTCTCTTTCCTTTATCTAATTTCCTCCTTCGTTAGATTTTCGCCACTCTGCTCACCTAACTCATTGTCTCTCTTAGTGAGTTATATTAGCCGGAGGACTGTGTGTGTAATTTGTTACATCACGGGGGAGTGGTCATTAAGATAGGCTAGGTTGATAACAAGTTGGTTCTCTCTCTCTCTCTCTGTGATGCCTTTATATTTCTTTGTTATCTTGTTCTTCTTCTGTTCCTTCTTTAGTGTCGAGAGCATCTTTCTTTTCTTTCTTCTTTCTTCTTCTGAACATTATCTTTTAAATCTAATCCATTTTCTGTTCTGTTAAACTTTTTCTTTTAACACTCTTTCCATTTTCTTTACTATTTACCCCATTTCTTTAACACCTTTAACCCTATTTTCTTTTAACACTCTTTTTCCCCATTTTTAACACTCTTTACCCCATTTTCTAACACTCTTTTACCCTATTTTTCTTTTAACACTCTTACCCCATTTTCTTTAACACCCTTTTCCCCATTTTCTTTAACACTCTTTACCCCATTTTCTTTAACACTCTTTACCCCATTTTCTTTAACACTCTTTACCCCATTTTCTTTAACACTCTTTACCCCATTTTCTTTAACACTCTTTACCCCATTTTCTTTAACACTCTTTACCCCATTTTCTTTAACACTCTTTACCCCATTTTCTTTAATCATGGTACAGTTTACATTAGAACCCATTTTGTTTGTTTACACTTATCGCCTCATACCATTTCTTTCACACTTTTTATCTCCTTATCTTTGGCATTCTTGGCTTATTTTCTCATATGTTTTTATTCAATTTTCTATGATGTTATTCGTCCATTTTATAATACTTATTGAACCTATTTTCACCCTTGGAGCTTTTTAATCGCTTTATTCCTTCGATTTAACCCAATTTTCGACGCATGTGATCTCAGTAATTACGGATAGATTAGAAACTATTAATTTACCGCCTCCCCCCTCACCCCCTTTACCCCCTCTCCTACCCTTTACTCCCTCTCTTTCTCTCGGCCTTTTTAACTTTCCTTCGGTTACCGCCTGATTCTCATTTTCTTCAATGTGTTTTAATCCGTTT